GCTTATGTCCTTGTAATGTCCGTATTGGAATTTTTTTCGCCTCTTACCCTCTCTTTGGTTGCTTCTGCACATCAATCAAAATTCAAGTCTGCAGAAATTATTACGTGCTCCGACTGTTTTGCTAGAGTGTCCTGTATCTGGCGGTTACTCGCGCTTGTACCGACAGTTGCTTTGTCCCGCCCCCCCACTATTCCGCGGAAGCTGGGTCTTCTGACCATTGAACCAGTTGAACCTGTTCTTTTCAAACATGTTTTACCTCTCTACTCCGCGTTTTTGGTTGCCGGTACCCAACTCCTCTCTCTATCGGCTGCTCCTTTGTCCATCGGCTCCTCCTCTCTCCATCGGCTGCTCCATCGGCTGCACCTTAGCTAGCGCCTCCTTGGCTGACCTAAGCTTTTCTCCAATCACCCTCATTTTTTCTCGTTCTGTCACCTACGCAGTCTCCAGCTCGAGGATTCGTATCATAAGTTCATTCTGCGCAACCATCATTTTGCCCATTTTTTGCTCGAGCTAACATTTTCTTTACTTGGCATCCGCTTCCTCTGCATTCACATCCGCACTAACTTCCCCTTTCAAACCCGCACTACTAATGTGTGCTCCTAGCGTTCACGACTAAAAGCTCTCACGTTTTCAATGGTATGGCGTCATTTTTCTGCCACAAAAAGTGTACAGGCGGAAATTTCAAAACTTTCTAAAAAGAAACAAGTTTCAGGAGCTGTACTGCACTTCACAAATACAGCATTGTTAACGTCATGGTTTGCGGTTTTGTTCCCACGACGAAAGAAGTTTACACAATGGAACCTTACGTAAGCTACCGAATGGCACCTTGTTTTTCGGAACAAAAAAAAGCCGTATAAAGAAAACCAGATCGAAACCATGAATTTTCTCGGAAATCTAAGTAGTAGAAAGACTAAGCTTTGGTTTGAGCCTGCAATAATGGTTCTTCGTGACGAAAAACACCTTCAAAAAATGCAGTTTTCTACAACACAGTCACGTTTTCGACTCGCGTCTTTGACCATAGCGTCTTAATAATGACAATTATAATAATGCGCGCCCGGTTGGCGCTATGACCGACTTGGTTGACTGACCGAGCTGGAAGCTCGCGTGCCATCAGATCGGCAAGGCGCGGGTTTGAATCCCAAGTAAACTTTTCCTTTATATAAAATTTCTGGCGGTGGCTATGGTTCTCGGCTGCCGATCTGAACGACACGGGTTTGATCGTGACCATGGTTCTTGAATTTTGAAGTAGGCGAGAATACTAGAGTATTTAGATTTAGACGCGTGTACCTTGGCGTAACTCAATAAGTGTATACACTTATAGAAAAATTTAATTATTATGGCTTTAGGGGAGTTTTTTTAAAATAGTATTACCTTGAAAAATTCATGCAAAAAGTGATTATCAATAATTACGCATCTAATGTGAAACCTTCTATTGCACGAGTACCACAGGAAAATATCTAAGGGCCGTTGCTCTTTTGGATTTTTATTATTAATTTAGTGAGCATTGATCATGATGTAAAATTTATTATATGTGGAGGCGACACCAAAACTATTGTTACTGCGAAAGATGCCGAAGATGCCATGATCAAAGCCAACGTAGTTTTATCAAAATTATCATCTTGAAGCACAGCAAATTTGTTGAAAATGAACGTCAATAAAACAAACGCCATACTTTTCTGACCAAGAAATCAAAACGTTTGCACTTCAACGAGTTTAGGTCGACATATTTTCAATCTGTCAATTGTACCCTCTACTGATTGCCTTGGTGTAATATTTGAGCAACATTTATCATAGAACTCTCACTAAGAAATGGTGGTGAGTAAACTCTCCCAGGTGACTGAAATTTTAGGCAAGTTGCGTTTATTTTCTTCCAGGAAGTGTTAAACTTATTTTGTACAAGTCCCTGTTTCTATCTTACATAAATTAGTGTCATATCACCTGGGGCACTACAACACTTACTAACACAAGAGTCCTTCAATACTCTTACTAGTCGTGTAGCTTCGGCGAGAGTTTGATACAGAGACAGGAGCAACCGCTAAAGGCACCCTCACCCACTGAGGGGTATCGGAGCCTCCACGGCGCTGCTATTGCACGGCACGCGAAGGAGCTATGAAATGTTATGAATGTAGCCATGAAGGTTCAATACGCCTTCAGAGTGATGTTAGCTTCAAGTAAATTTGGGAAAGCTCCAATACAGGGATATTTAACGTCGAACGAGGCTTTGAGGCTAGAAATTTAACGGCATGCTGATTCCACTGTAAGATGCCCCTATAAAATCATACTTTTTTTTTGTGGCGCAGCTAGTAAAAATTTGTTTAATATCCAGAGTCATTCAACGATTCTGGTGGCTATTAACCCGCTGAAGAAGTGCAGTGGTTGCAGCTTTTGACATCGCATATACAATTTTTGAGGCTATATGCACATTCGGTATTTCTATACGAAGATATATATCTCGTGAAACATTGATATAAAAAATTGACTTTTCACGCTTCTACAGCTTGCGGAAGTTTTGTGCAGCAATTTGGCGCAACCTCTCATGCACCGTCACACTAAGCAACCTCCTATTTGTAGCGCTAAAGTCTGTGTTCCATGCAACGAATGTGTAATTTTGTTTTTTTCAAACTGTGAGGAGCTGCATGTAGCGCCATCTGTTTGGAATATCATCTCTACACTTTTGGTCATCTCAGTGCCTGTATAAACGACAACGGTGAGCACTTCACTCATAGGGCTTCTGTATTACCTACTGCCACGGAATGAGGAAGAGGTGGCCTGTATGCTCATCTTAATTAAATGTGTCCTTATTTATTGCAGCTATGTCGAACGGGCTCATGCACAGCGTAGATTTAGCCACAGTATCCAGCTCAGCTGATGGTTTCAGTCGATGCTTGGTAGGTGAGTGAGCTCTGCATCCTTTTGCATTCTACAAACACGGCCTGAGCCCATGGAAAATTATCGGCGCAGGGTCGGCAACTCCGGCGAGTTTGGCGGTATCTATCTATCTATCTATCTATCTATCTATCTATCTATCTATCTATCTATCTATCTATCTATCTATCTATCTATCTATCTATCTATCTATCTATCTATCTATCTATCTATCTATCTATCTATCTATCTATCTATCTATCTATCTATCTATCTATCTATCTATCTGTCTATCTGTCTGTCTGTCTGTCTGTCTGTCTGTCTGTCTGTCTGTCTGTCTGTCTGTCTGTGACTTTTGCTCTCCTGGCCGTTTTGATAAGTGTATCGATACCAAAATTGGTGTGCCATAACAGGAGTGTACAACGAGCATAAGTGACTAGTTCTAACACGAAAATCATGACATGTGTTTAATGAATGCCAAGGTTTACATTTCATAGTCTGGATGGTTTTGCGATAGTTTCGTTCACATCACATAATGCAAAACTGGTTTGGTATAATAGGACTGGAAACATAACTGATAGACCCTAACGTTGAAATCGTCCCATGCATGTCATGTAAGTTTTGATTACAGGCCATAGGCTCGTGGTGTGCTCACAGTCGTTTCTCTAGCTTTACGTATACTCAATGTGATATTACATGACGCGATTGAATGACGATAGTATACGACTGGTGCAAACATGGTAATCATGACATGCGTGTCATGTAAGAACATGAATACATACCACGCTCATGATGCGCTTGCGGCCGTTTCGCTAGCTTCTCATATACCAAACTTGGTGTTACGTGACGCGAACAAATTACGAAGGTAAATGACAGGTCCAAACGTGACAACCATAACATGCTTGTCATAGTAAACATGACTGCATGCTAAGCTCATAGTGCGCTCGTGGCCGTCTGCTAGCTCTATATATACCAAATTTGGTATCACGTGGCGTGATCAGACGGCGAAGGTAAATGAGATGGGCAAACATGATAATAATGATATGCGTGTAATGTAAATCATAACTACAGGCTACGCTCACAGCCAGCTCGCGACCATTTCGCTAGCTCCACATATATCAAATTTGGTATCACGTGACGTGAACAGACGACCCAGGTAAATGACACGTGCAGGCAACTAAATCATGGTATGCGTGTCATGAAAAACATGTCTACATGCTATGCTCATGGCATGCTCGTGGTCGTTTGGCCAGCTCTACATATACCACGTTTGGTATCACGTGAAGTGAACGGACGGCAAAGATAAATGACACGTCTAAGCAAGGTAATCATGGCATGCGTGTCATGTAAAACATGACTACATGCTACGCTAATAGCGTGCTCGCGGCAATTTTGCCAGCCTCACTTATGCCCAATTTGCTATCACGTGAGGTGAACAGACGACGAAGGCGAATGGCACTTCCAAAAATGATATTCATGACATGGACGTCATGTACGGCCTAATTTATGTCCGCCGCGTAACGTTGTTTCGATTTTATAGTAACATATAGCAACTTTCCTCATTCGTGCTTCGCGTATCACCGATTCCCACTTTACATGGGATCTGCCATTTTTTTGTATTATAAACATTGTACTATCATGACACCAAAAAGACCACGCTTCACTGAAGATGAGGCTTGGCAAGTGATAAAAAGGGCGTAAAGAAAATGCAGTAGGCGACGTAGATATGTACTTCCCGCACAACTTGGCATGACATTTTAGATTTTGATGGCGTCTAGTTGAGCCTAGGCAGTTCTTAACCAGTAAAAATGAAGTACGTCTCTTCCTTGCAAGCCATAGATAAATCATACGAAGCGTCAGTAAATTTAGTTTTGCCAATTGAGTACAATACGCAAAAGTAAAGAAAATTTTAAAAGTGTGACATCGCAGTCAAAGCTTTTGGTGGGAATCGTGTGACAGATATTTCTCCTATTGTTGAGACTATGGCGGACAAAATCGCAACAATGGTTTTCAAAGCACAAATTATCAGTCTGAAATCAATTATATTATCACTTCAGTGCCCATTTGACGCTACCAGTAAAGCAGCGTAGTTATACTCGTGGCTGGTGCACACTGCATACCACAAGTGAGCTTACCGCGCTTTGCTTGACGTCGAAGCCAGGTTTCGAGGCAAATGCGTGAAGGTAGGCGAACCCGAACACGCTCTCCGAGAGCAACAGGCACTGAAACTTGGACCAAAGGCGATTGTGCCGGGAGTGTCGAGACGTTCTCACGTTAGTGGACGCGTCCAGGTTCACGATGAGTGGCGCGAACCACGAGAAAATGGTGTAGCCTATGTACAGCGTCACCACGGACCTGGAAAAGAAAATGCTGACAAGCAAGCAAGCACGAACAAGCAAGCGCCAGCATGAGCGAGAGAGAGTGAGTGAGCAAACGAACGAACCTACGAACCTACGAAAAGAGCACGCTTTTTTCATACACAGCGAGGTATAACAACTGGGACACTTGTTAGTTTGCACTCATCTGTACCTGTTATTACGTTTCGTGTGTCGGTTTCGTTTAAACAGTACGTTACGTGTCGAGCGCTAAACGTTATTTCGCTCTCGTCCTGTGTCTGTTGTTTTCGTGCGTCATTTGTACGTGAGCAGAGCGCTGAACGTTTTGATCTGCTTGTCGTTCTCAGCGTGACATTCTAAGTTGTTGATCTCGCATTCATAGCTTTTGCCTTGCGGTTAAATTGTCCCTTTTCTTGGAATGACCGTATTCTTGACCCGACTCAAGAACGTTAATGGATAGATGGCGTGGTTACCTAATTTATAGATAATCGTTCTAGGTTAATGAGTGAACTATGCTGTAACTAATGCGGTTACTAGCGCTAAGAAGACCAGCTAGCAGCCCAAGTCTCAGTCTCGTGGACAAAGAAGCTGGGGTCCAGCGCTATTCTATAATGCGATACGGAGATCCTGGTATAAACTGTACAGCACCTAATAGATTGAAAGAAGACACGCACTAGTCACATAGACATTCAAGGTCCAAAATGATGTTGCTGGTCACGCACTCGTATGTTGCATTTCAACTAGTAATGTAATTTAGAAGAGCATCTAGTAATGATAATTTTAAATAAATGCACATGGTTCTCGAGCCGTGACGCAGTAACACCTGATAAAGAAAGGGGATGTGTACAAAGACTCCCAATGGCAACAGTGCTATCAAGCCGCATCCAAGTTCGAAGCCTTGACTGATACTTACTCGTCGCTCTGCTCCAGCACTTCGTCCAACCCATTCAGATAAAGAGGAGACTTAATTACGACGTCAGTTTCTGGCGTTATGTTATGGTGACGTCCCAAAACGGCAGTAAGAAGCGTTGGCCAGTGTATCTGCAGATGCAGTTAGCATATAGGTTAACATATCAGAATGCCTAATGATGCATTCGGATTTTCTCAACGCGCACTAATATTGCTTAGACTTGAAGCAGGTACTCACATTTTTAGTTCCCATGTCCTTAACTTTAATTCTCTTCTGCTTTCCCGGGGCACGCATGTACTGCGGGATAATAGAGAGAAAACAATTAATGAGTGAAACCCCCTCGCAAGGCACCGGATGTCTTACAAAGCTTAATAGCTGTTCGAACTTGATGATGGTGGCAACAATGTGTTCGGTCTGTCCTCTCTGCAGACAGACTGCATATCGATCGCAGAAGTTTTGCAGGTACTTTGCCAGCGTGAACAGCAGCATAGCAGCCATCGTCATATCCGTCTGAAAGCCAACCTTTCGGAGCAGGAGTGTCGGTTTGTCGAGCTGTCGATACGAGAGAGAAGACCATGTTCACATGTACTGTGGTGCTTTGGAATTTCACGCAAGTTCGAGTGCTACAACAGGGATTATTTCGTTACAGAACATCAGTATCGAGTGTCATCGTTATTCTCAACCACCCAACTCCTATTTTCTGCCTTGTAGACTTAGTATCCTGTATTCACAAGGAAGTGAAAGTTGTTTCAGAATGACACAAAACTTTGACGTTAACGATGACCGACATTCGCACTATTTTTCTACCATATTAGCAATAGGAGCTTTCAAAGATGCGAAACAGTAGTTGATCTTGCTTCATCCGCGCTAGCACGCCGAAAGTACAGGCATGGAAATGTATCACCTAAAACTACGTCATTTTCGATTTTGTCCGCACAGCCTGCTGCACTCTGATGGAAGGCTCGCACCATGCACTCACTAATGCAAGGACTGCTAGAACATTGTTTGTGTTTCTTGTACATTGCTGTTAATACATGAGGTCATGGAAGTTACCACCTGCACATCCCAGTAGTGCCATTGTTACCCGCCCCGGTGGTCTAGTAGTAATGTGATTGACTGCTGACCCTCAGGCTGCTTGATCGTATCCCAGCGGTGGCGTCTGCATTTTCTGTGGAGGTGATAATGCTACAGGCCTGCGTTCCTGGACTGAGGTCTTGTTAAGAACAACAGGTGGTCGAAATTTCCGGAACCCTCCACCATGGCGTCAGTTAATTTCCTACTCCTTGTTTAGCTTCTACACAAGCTAAGTAGCCGGGAAGGTCTTTGAGGTTCGGAATGGTTGCTCGTCAATGACTCAAGTGCTCGGTGGCAGCGTGAAGGAAGCGCCGTAGTCTGGTAAAGAGACGCTTTATTGCAGCACTAAGGCGTTGGCCCTGGTCCGAGCCTGAACTTCCGCTCTCATTTCACATCCAAACGCCCTCTTTTGAATGCGAAGCATTTGTTAGCGAACTTCAGCGAGTTTGGCTATCTATCTATCTATCTATCTATCTATCTATCTATCTATCTATCTATCTATCTATCTATCTATCTATCTATCTATCTATCTATCTATCTATCTATCTATCTATCTATCTATCTATCTATCTATCTATCTATCTATCTATCTATCTATCTATCTATCTATCTATCTATCTATCTATCTATCTATCTATCTATCTATGTGTCTGTCTGTCTGTCTGTCTGTCTGTACGTCCGTCTGTCTGTACGTCCGTCTGTCTGTACGTCCGTCCGCCTACGACTTTTAGCTCTCCTGCCCGTTAATTTGAATATTAGAATCTATACGAAAATTGATACGGCAGAACATTACTGTATGACGAGCATAAATGACTAGTGATGACATGAATATCATTATATGCATGTCATGAATTTCATGATTTGGTCTTGCTGCTCCTGCGGTGGTTTTGTTCACATGACATATCGCAAAAATGGTATGGTGTGACATGAGTACATCGCGAACGTAAGTGGTAGGCCCTCACGTGCAAATCATTTCATGCGTGTCATGTAAGTGCATGACTACACGCCATGCTCATGATGTGCTCGCAGCCGTCTCGCTAGCTTCACATATTTCAATACGAAATTTGGTATTACGTGACGCGAACGCATGATGAAGGTAAATGGCCAGTCCAAACATGATTATTATGACATGCGTGTCATGTAATAAGATGTCTGCATACCACGCTCATGATGCGCTCGCGGCCGTTTCGCGAGCTTCACATATGCCCCGCAGTGGTGGTGTAGTGGCTAAGATACTCGGCTGCTGACCTGCAGGTCGCGGGAGCGAATCTCGGCTGCGGCGGTTGCATTTATGATGGAGGCGAAAATGTTGTAGGCCCGTGTGCTCAGGTTTGGATGCAGGTTAAGGAACCCCAGGTGGTCGAAATTTCCGGAGCATTCCACAATACGGCGTCTCTCATAATCATATGGTGGTTTTGGGACGTTAAACCCCACATATCAATCAGCTTCACATATACCAAATTTGGTATCACGTGGCGTGAACAGACGACGAAGATAAATGACACGTTCGAACGGGATAATCATGACGTGTTTGTCACGTAAAACGTGACTACATGCCGCTACGTTCACAGCACGCTCATGACCATTTCGCTATTTTCACATATACCGAATTTGGGATTAGGTGACGTAAATAGACGACGAGCGCAAATTCTAGGCGCAAACATGATAATGATGACATGGAAGTAATCTGCGGCCCAGTTCACGTCCGCCTCATAACGTTGTGCTGATTCGAATGTGACCTATCAACCTTCCCCATTCGTGCTTCGCATATCATCCACTCCCACTGTACGTGTGATCTATAAGTTTTTCTAAATCTGCGGTCAAATAAATAGTCTCCACACAAGCCAATCACACGTGGGGGCTGATATGACAACCGATGGCAGAAGAACTTCCACAGCAGACACTGCATTGGTAAAAATTACGCTATTAAATGTAACACGCGAAAGCATAGGTTCTCTGCGCAACGCATCTCGTCGCACTGTCTCCCATTTCAGCCCGTGTATCGGCTGACGTCTGCCGGTAGCCGTTTTCCAGGCTCGCGCTCCTTCAGCTCGAGCACAAAACGTCTTTTCGCATCTTTAGGAGCCGCTATAAACACCATCAGGCCGTGTGCTTTGACAATGTGTACATGCGCCATTGAGGTGCCCCGTCGTGCTAAGAACACTTGGTATTGACGTTCAACGGGGGAGGGGGAGCCCACATGCTCGAAAACCCATATTGTCACTAAAGGGTGCGTGCCGATGTCTTGGTAGGCCCACTGGTTGCGTCCATGTGGCATTCTCAAACGGCACACGTGAATGTCAAACAATGAACATAACACCAGACGACCGCGCTTGGTCTGGTTCTTGCGACCCACGCTTCCCGGTAGGCATATTTGCAAGGTGTTTCAGCGCGCGAACAAAGGAAAAAAGACAGGGTAGACAGAAAGAGCCCTGACTTCCAACTACCTTTATTTCACACAGTGGCAAGAATATATACTGCTAAAAAGAATGATAACTGAGCATGAAGGTAAAATGCAAGCCTAATCTACACATCAGTAACAAAACACGTGTGACGGGTCCTCTATTGCCTCAAAGGCCAGCCAGGTAATCACGTTCCGCCTGTGATAAAGCAACCGATGATGTGCCGAGAAATTATTGAAGCCAAAAAAATACACTTGCTAGGAGATAAATGTGTAAGCACATGATCGGTTGCTTTATCACAGGCTGAACGTGATTACCTGGCTGGCCTTTGAGGCAATAGAGGACCCGTCACACGTGTTTTGTTACTGATGTGTAGATTGGGCTTGCATTTCACCTTCATGCTCTGTTATCATCCTTTTTAGCAGTATATATTCTTGCCACTCTGTGAAATAAAGTTCGTTGGAAGTCAGGGCTCTTTCTGTCTACCTTGTCCTTTTTCCTTTGTTCGCGCGCTGAAACAACTTGCAAATATGCCTACGCACCAACTAGCCCAAGCTTCCACTTTTGTGAGTTACATTCCCGGTAGGCTTTCCCCCTTTTGTCTCAAACTGGGGGTGAATTTGACGTCTCTGCTCGTGACCTGTGTGAACAACAGTCTCCTTTGTTCCCATGCATTGTTCTTTCGCGTTCCTCTTCGCGAAACTGATAGGCGTCGTTAGTTGCCGGGTCGAGTACTCTCTCCGCGTTCAGTAACACCCGCATAACTTGCGCAACACAACAACACGCTGCCCGGCACATCTCTTCCTAACTGCGTCTGTCACAACAATACCGTAGTTTTAGAGTGTTAAACCCCAACAGTTATTAGAATTAGCATTGCCGTCATTGTGTTCAGTTTGTGCCTGCGCGAACATCGGCTGGTGTGAGGCTGTCGTGTTTCATCTAAAAAAAGAAGACGCTTGCCGCCCGGCTAATTGTTTAAGTTATAAATTGAGTACTTTCAGCGATTAATTCACAACATGAGTTGCTTGAAAGCACATTAGATCCCGGACGTGGTGGTCGCATTTCGATGGAGGCAAAATTGTAGAGGACCGTGTATACTATGCGCTGTCAGTGCAAATAAAAAAAAATACCTGGTGGTCAAAATTTAGCCATCTACCGCTAACCATGTGTAGGTGCGAAGCAGTGGGAAACAACGCTTACACTCGCGGTGACGTTGACGCTCGCGCTCATCAAGCGAAAGCCAAGTAAAGGCGCCCTTTAATGAATTCAGAACGCGTGATCCAGTGCCTACATATACGGGGTGGCCAGTGAATGATTGTGCAGCACGAGCAGACGTTGCCCGCGTTGGAGTTGCGAGGCTAGATAGGGGAAAGGGAGTGACAGTTTTTAAAGTGTCTTCCTTGGCCGGCACGCAACGTGAGCAGGTGCGTCTCGGCGGAAGACGCGAGCATGTGGCACGAGACGTGATAGGCGAGCACGCGCAGTGAGGGTGTACGGAGGGACAACGTTACACAGGCTAGTCAAAAAGCTCCTTCGCGTGTAAAATTTACGAAGGCTTCCTCTGCGGTGTCTTTCGTATTGATATCTAGGTTTTGGACGTAAAACCCCTTGCTTTATTGCTCGGAACAGTTTCGGGACGGTGACTGTCACTGGAGGCCCTCGACAATGAAAATCATGAGGATTGCTGTGAATAGAGTCCGGCTGATCGGGGCCTGGTGTGGTTCCTTAGGTGTTTTTCAGTCAGAATAAGAAGGCGTCATAGCCACTGAGTGTAGCGTGTTAGCTTTTGCCAAAAGAAGCAAAGCTGAGATGACAGATTGACTCCGCGCACTTCAGGGCAGCGCAGTGTCAGCATATGCGTGCGTAATAGTTGTGTAGCTCAATTTTGTTGAAGCGTCAGTATATCGTAGTCTGCGCGCCTCTCACGCCATCAAGGGCTTCGCTTGCTATATCCTGATAATTAGTGGCTCAGTTACAACTACGTTAACTTTGGTTTACCCACACGTTTTGGTTTTATGCACTGTTTTTTTTTTGGGGGGGGGGGGGGATCACTAATTATAAAAACTTCAGCGACTTTTAGTTCTCCATGAGAATAGCGTTAGTAATGGTGTTACGTAAGTATATAACAACACGCTGCGGACATAGCGCATGCGCAGAATTTCGGCTCATTGCCCCTATAGGCCAAAAGCAGCGATCTTACACACGCAACAACGTTATGAACGCCACGTACGTAGCAACTAAAACTCGCCCAAATCTGGAGCTCCAATACAATGGGGTTTTCGATGAAAATGTGCGAGTTTTACATGGTGAAACTGCGATATGAATATGCTTGAAGCATGCTGCAGTGGAGTGCTGGCGAAAGTTTGGCCATCTAGTGTTCTATAACACACACTCTGACACTCTAAACTACGCGGGCTTCTAGCATTTCGCCCTCATCTAAATGTGACTGTCACAGCGGGATTGAAGTCGTGACATTTGGCTCATCAACCGAGCCCCGTAATCACGCTAAATATGAGGAAATTTCGCATGAACAATTAACACGGTAAGAATAAAGGCGCTTGCACAAAACATAAAAATAAAATAGGCGTGAATGTTTACGGTATTTTGTCTTCCTTTATAATACCGGCGGTTCACGTGCAGTCGTTCACTAGCTTAACACGAATTCTCCACAGCGTGTGCTGAAACACATGGATGGACGCTAGCGCCATGTAGCTTTGTGTTCTGTTGCTTAAATGTTACCCATGCATGCCGACGTACTACCCAAGCATACCGAGATATTATCTCGGCAACAAGAATCAGCGTTTTTCGGGTGGCATCAGCTAAAGCAGTCCAGGTGACGTGTCGAAGTGTTTGTGTTATGCTTGAAGCGGTAATTGCATCAGCCGTATCGAACCTGCCATAATCGCATATAGCTGAGTGCAATGTGAACAAGCGTCTGTCCTATCTTCACATGAACTACTGTTGCAGGCGTACTGTTATACCGAAAAAGACGACACCGCATTCTTTCAGGGTACAAAGTACCAATATTACCACAACCGATGTTTTTTTAAGTTTTTCTTTTTTCGAAAATATGCTGTTTGCGCTAACTTCTGTGAACTCTCACATCGATTTTATAATTCGGCAGGAAAGAAATTGTGATAATCCACACTTTAAGGTGACTTTTTGAAGTGCTTCAGCTGCACTTCGACTTGTTCGGGCGAGTAAACCAAATAACAATTTGGAGGCGTCGCACGAATATACTACATCCCAGGCTCCACAGCATCAAAACAGGAGCTTATTTGAGGCACTCGTAAGATTTCCCAACAAAATATGGTTACTTTTTTCACTGCTGGGCTTTCTTAAACCTAATAAGAGAAACACGAAACCAACCATCATCATTATCAATGATTTCTAACGAGCGATTAAGGTCATAGCAAAGAGCCTCGTTGCAGAAGGGAGCCGCAAGCACTCGATGTTTTGGCTGTTGTGTGATCTCGAAGTGTGTACTTAGTGAGCCATGAAGCGTACGCAAACACACTCACGCTGACCACTGGTCCGCGGGATTCGTTGCCCTTGGCCAGCGAGATGGTGACGAGTGGATAGTAGCCCAACTGCGTGGTAACCTCGGCCAGTAGGTTGGTCAGGTTTGATGTCGTAGGCATCACAGGCCACTGCTCCATATGAAAATGCTTCATGATACCCACAAAGTCACGGATGCCTGCGCCTGACGATAGACAAGTTAAAATAGCAGATATATATATATATATATATATATATATATATATATATATATATATATATATATATATATAGGAGGCTGAACATTGGCCCTTCTACGTATACACGTATATCAAAAATCATGGTGACCTACACGCAATTAAGATTCTTCAAGTCTTACTGAACACATTTGCCAATGTAACTGCTTTAGATATTGTTACTTTCAGACACCAATAAAGGCCTAGAAGGAATATGACCTATGCACTGCTAATGCTGAATCTATAAGGTTGATTAGTACGGTATTGGAGGAGCTTTACTAACACAGCGCGATTAAGTTGCGTCATGAGTTTATTTGTAACTGTAAGTAACTTATCCATTAGTGCGTCGTAATTGACTATTCTGTTTGGAATATATTGTTTATTTACAATCCTTATTTAACCTATCTGTACCGTTCTTTATGTATTAAACAATGTCATGTCATCTACAGTAATCTTTTGCCGGTTAATAATTAGTGATGTTTAACACGAGAAATCCACTGTATGATTATGAAAGTAGCCGTAGTAGAGAGCTCCAGAAATTTAGAGGGCCCGGGATTCTTCAACGTGCACCTAAATCTGAATAAAAAGGCCTCGAGTGTTTTCGCCATCACCTAAAATACGGGCGCCCGGGATTTGATACCGTGACTCGCGGGTCAGCAGTCCAGCATCATAACCACTTGATCACCGTGGTGGATTACTCGCTTGCTGCTTTCATGTATCTTTGGTCATAAATCAAACATTCTTTGCTATATTGTAAACTTTTGCAATGGAATTTATTTGATTGTTATTTTGCTCACTATAACACCCTTTTCCGGCTTTGATGCCAGATGATATCGGCAGTAGTTTTAAAGAAATAAAAAATGCCCCCCCCCCCATCTAACCGAAGTGAATTGTAAGGAAATGCCAATGCATTGCGTAGCGTTCTCAACGGCGTTCGCACATGAGAACCCAGCGTTAGAGGGAATAATGTTCTCTCTTTTTTCTTACACCGTGAAGCATATAGCGCAATTTGTCGCACCTGGCGTTTTTACTGTCATGAGAAACGCAGTACGCGTTTTAAACTCTAGTCACGTTTAAATATAGTATGAAGGGAGCAAAACGAACAGCATGTTCGTCTCGGCGTAGGCGTTTCACAGCGGCATCTAGAGCACACATTTCCGGATGTTCTTCAGAGGCGCCCAGCCAGCGCATGGTCGAGAGTGAGGCGTGAGTGGCCAGAAAAGTGGGGCGCATGGAGGAGAGAGAGCGATCGTCGAGAGAAGGAGCGGCAAGGCACTACCCTTCACAGCCCTCTTCTACGCTCTTGCACCACATGCTCCGGCTGTCAGGGGCGGGGATAAGCGTGCGCGCCCGCAGATGTTTCTAGGGAAGAGGAAGTGAGAGAGGAGAGGTAATACCTACCGGCGTGTGACCTCCCGCCGACGTCGCGGACAAAGCCAGATGCCTGACATAGCCCGACTATGGAATGCATTCGCAATGAAAAACAAAAAAACGTCAGCGAGATAGACTTCAACATTGTCACCTTGGGACAACAACGGCCGAAAAGATGGATAAAAATTTCATCTGTATTTTAATGTGTGCCGGCATTTGTTCTCAAATTATACGTAATGTGAACTTGTAGTCAGTCAAGCTGTAGGAGCCAAATGGCCATAAGAACAAGATAAATCAATCTACAAGCTGTTTCGAGTTTAACGAAAGTTACGTAGCTGCGAAAATACTCGTTTTGCCCATAACCATGCCAGCAAAAAAAAAAAAAACGCAGACCCGCCTAATGAAGCATGATGCTCCACCATGCCTGTACTTCAGCTCGTCTTCTGCGAACTGGGAGCTTGCAACAACAGAAGGTGGCTACTTTTAATGCCTGCCACATATCGCGTGAAGAGGCCAGTGGGTGCATACATATAGGATCCCACCACAATATGGTTAATGGCTCCGCGGTTCTTCAATGAATCGTAAAAGATGCTCCTTTTGTAATTATTCTTCCGCAAGACTTCTCTGTCTGTCTAGATTCCTTTGCCGTTGTGCCTTATTAATTTTTTCTTCCTACCATCCTTATTTCTTTGTATGCTATAAGCCGAACTTCAATTTTTTTGTTCCTATTGTTACAATTTCCCTTGCTGATAGTTTGATGTTTCAACGTGCATAATATGTCGGTCACTAATTGCCAGGGGCATGATGAAGAGAAAAAAAAAGAAGCGAGCAAAAAAAAAATTATGTGAACGACAGCAGCAACAACGTGAGTTGCTATACCATCTGTTTTTTTTACTCTAAATATTTTCTTTTTTTTTCAAATGCCCTATGCGTCCAGAAAATGTAGCGTTAAGGCAATGAAGTTCCTCGGTGAGCACGACATATACTTTGCTATTGATAATCGGTGATTGACGTGGCTAATTGATGGATATTTCAAAAGTTTTTTTGTTTGTTTTAAGATGCTCTGGGTTAGTTGCTTACAATGACAATACTGAGTCACGTTCTAAGGAATTCAACTGGTTTTAACTTCAATACAGAGCATTAAACGATGCTCTGATGGAACGAAAAACGCGCTCGGTTCAAGCGGGGCTTCAGACGGGCGAAGGTTGCAAATATAGTCAACATTATTTTTATTCCCAAAAAATAACAATGAAGTGTTTGATACAGCTCAGAAACAAAATGCACTTTGCTGCAGCTGCTATCTTACAAGATTTTGTATTCGCGTGAAATCATACACAAAAGTTTTGCACAGTGATCGCTTTCAAGATATTACTCTAGAGATTCAGCGGCATCCATAGCCCCGTGGTCAGCATCAGTAACACTAATTGCAATAACTACAGATATGTAGCTCCTCCTCACAACCTACAGAGATCATATTTTCAACTGTCTGCCCCAATAAGATAACAAAAAAGGACACTTGTGATGCCTCTTGTTTGTAATGATGGAAACAAAAGCATAGCATCGTCATAGCAAGGTCCTACTTATTCTGTAATCGTTTCTTTCCTTTTAGAGATCACTAAATTATCAACAACGCACTCTGTATGGCAGCACAGTTGAAATTTGAACACTTCACTTACAGTTAAATTCTTGCAACTTCCAAATATACGGGGTTTTGTTCGCCATTTATTTTGTACCGCAGTTAGGCATTAATGTCCGACATTTCAATATCGTAGACGAACAACGTTAATAATAATTTCTGTTTTTTTTTAGTGCCATAACCATGGTATGTGTATAGGGCTCGCTGTAGGGTTGGACTTCAGATAAACTTCTGTCGCAAGGGGTTCCCTAACGTGCGGACAGAATCTAAGCGTAACCCGGGTGTTCTAAGCGTTTAATCCTCATCATAATTCTGCCACCGTTGCCGGGAATCGAACGCGCGTCCTTGCGGGTTTGGCTGATTGCGTGACACCCTACATGTTAAGGTACACTTTAAGAAGTGAACGAAGAAAAGGGGTATCAAAGTTGCTCCTTTAGAGGAGTAACTGATTTGCCACACCCATTGCACCAATTTAGAAGTAACAGCGAAGGAGCAACAACGCTCTCGTGGGTTACTCCTCAAAGGAGCAACAATTAGAAAAAGAAATATCAGGTTTTCGGTTGGCCAAACGAGCCTTCCGAAGTGCGTGCTAGCATTTGAATAGATGCACAATTGATGTGTAAGCATCACACTGAGAAATTTATTTAGAAAACATTGAACCAAACACACTGAATTCGAATTCGCGACCACTGCAGTCAGCATGCGCGTACACTAACCACTACACCAAACCATGCTGAGGTACCGTCAGAAAGGAAACAGGCCTGTGTAGGCACTGATTGGTCGTTTGCACACGGAGCAGACATTCCTGCAGTAGCTCCAGAAAACGGGTGCTTTACTCCACAAGGAGGAAAGTGCCCCTCCTTGTCTATCCGTGTGCAATCGTGTGCGCTAATTGCGTCTTTAGAGGGAGCAAAACGCCATTTTCGGGGCTTCTTTATGGCAACAACGTATACATGTAAGCTACCGGTAACGTTTGGTTTCCACCTAAATTCATAAAAAGACAGGTTTCTAATAATGAAACTTTGTAAACATAGTGCCTTCCTATGGACAGACAAAGTTAATATTGATGTTTACATTTTGAAGCATCCCTTTTTAAGAAGGTTTTGTTTATCGAAAGTCTACTGCGTTTGGAAATCGTAGCAAAGTTGAGATATTCATTGTCTAATTTCAACATTCAATAAAGGCGATGTTGAAACGGAGTGCCGATTAACTTCATATAGTCAATGTTATTTCGGCGTAGCCAACTACGACATGCCTCAAAAGGATATCAGGCTTCTGGTCAGTGAAAACGACCTAGTATGCTTAATGACAATCAGTTCGTGAGGAGTGCGTGTCGATGTCTTAATGAAAATACTTTCCAGTGGATTCTTTCCTTGTATGACGTGCCATATCAAAATATTCTATGACTGGCCCGTGTGTTCAGTTCAAAGCTTTGTCTAATTTCCTTTATCACCCAGCGTTTTCGTTTGATATGATGGAGGAACAGCATTTTCTGCGGTCACAATAGCCTGGATTGTGCGCATAGAGATAATGTTAAGAGTAACACCTTCTATTATAAGTGCCGCTTTGAAGGCCAAGAGAAGGTGGTAGTGGTTCAGAAAAATGCTTGATGAGAATTTTCATATACGTAAAATGCAGCCAAAGCTCTCATTATGCTTTTCAAAAACTGTATGCGGCAAAGTTTGCTGGTGTGGCCTAGGAATAGTTCTGCATGAAATGCAAGTTTAGTTATCGTTCATTGATACTTGACAAATAATCCGTATATTCTCTCAGAAAAAGCAAATGCTTCTTATAAAGCCGTACAAGCTGGGTGAAAAACCTAGCTGAGATCTCCGGAAATATGATTGAAAACTGCTATGCCTAAAAATTGAACAGTATTCACTATTATCGCCTTGGTGTTATCATAGGCATTTGCACACATAAACACACCCATTGAAACGAAAGGACTCACTTTAAAATGGTTTGTCGTTTTTTGATTGATTGATATGTGGGGCTTAACGTCCCAAAACCACCATATGATTATGAGAGACGCCGTAGTGGAGGGCTCCGGAAATTTCAGCCACCAGGGGTTCTTTAACGTGCACCCAAATCTGAGCACACGGGCCTTCAACATTTCCACCTCCATCGGAAATGCAGCTGCCACAGCCAATGGTTTGTCGTGTTTAGGTATCAGTTTATGGTCAGTGCAAACTAAAAAGATGCAATAAAGACAAACAATGAGTCGTTTTATATTAATAACTGCGCTCTGAGGACTGTAATAGCATAAAATCACTGTCGTAAGTTCTTTATTACCGGAGAAAATAAAGGTTGAAGTTTCCATTTTCAAATTTCGCGCCGTAATCCTGGCGTCTTACGTAAGAAACGCCACATTATATTTTTCGTATTTTCCCGGTATTGGCTATATGAAGTTTTCTGAAAATTTGTATGCTACGTCTATGGCACCCACCGATTACAATTTACTTCAATTTAATCGATTAATAGCTACGTAGAACACAGTAGGTGCCTACAAAATTTATGACATCGACGTGTTTGGTGCAGGAATCTCATGTTGGCGTCTCCCCCGCAGTTTATTTTCGCCCGTTTTCTCGCTTAAAAAGTGTGGTGTCACGGTAAAGGGGGTCGTTTTGGAATTGTGAAGTTGTGCTTTAGTAATGCGTGAAGCGTATCACTTTATTGGGTCCCTTTAACATTGTTCTTTCTAGCAGGAAAGTGCTCGAAGCAGATGACGATTATTGTTTTTTAGCAGGAACACTCTCCAAATAGTTGACTTTTTAGAGTGTAAGCCATGCTAGCTTATATGTTGTTGACTGCCAAAATACGTGATTTTTATAGTGCAAATTTCGCTATCCAGGCTAGCAAGATTTACACCTAAAAAGTCACTGATTTTTCGTAAATGCGAAGCAATGAACGTGATAGCAATAAATTAAAGGTCACGCGCAGAATGGCAAGCAGATCAAAACATGCCCCGCGTTTGTCATGCACAAATAATACGAAACGTACTTACCGGTACAGATGAATGCGAATCAGCGTCTCAGTCCTTACTTCGCTGTGTCTGAAAAGCGCGCTCTCTCGCAAATGGAGACTGTGAAACTATCGCAGTGACCTTTGTCCGCCCGGTAACTTTAACAGAGATGTTCCGGTGAAAGCCAAAGGCCAGCCAAGACGTACAATTGTCCCCACCACGAGATAAAAGTGTTCGAGCGAGCATCCACCCTCTCCCCTCCTCTCCGTGGGGCAAAGTATGCGTGATAGAAGAAAGCATGCGCTACCGCGTACTAACGATGTGGTGACACGCGCTCTTTGCGCCATCTTGCTGTTAATGCTGAAAATACAATAGTTGCTCCTCCCCCCCCCCCCCGAAAAGCTCGTCACCAGCGCGAAGTGGTAGGTATAAATAGCTTGCTGTTTGAACGTTGAAGGACGGGCTCCCCCATGGCTCAGTGGTAGACGCCTCACACTCACGTTTCAGGGGTCCCACGTTCTATTCTGCGTGCAGGAGTATTCTTCTGGATTTTTTTCTTTCATGTGTTGTCACACACACACACACACACACACACACACACACACACACACACACACACACACACACACACACACACACACACACACATATATATATATATATATATATATATATATATATATATATATGCGTATACACATATATTGTAAGTGACGGCGACGTCGACGGTGACGGCAAAATCCAGTGGAGGGTGTCCATATAATTGCTATAGCAATAAACAGTGTCTATTTGGAGAGTGTTCTTGCTACCAAACAATAATCGTCATCTACTTCGAGTAGTTTTCTCGCCATATCACCATGATTTCGGTAGTTCGCGGTTGCGCACGGAGCGCGTGTTATAAATGTGACAGCATTCGCGGCAGGAAAGTGGCCTGCGCCGGCTTTTTCAAGAAAGAAAATGCAAGCAACTCAGGTGACGGGAATTGTTGTGTAGCAAAACTACTCCTCAAATACTACATTTTTTCCGAGTGCATGGTTTGTTACAGCCTGAGAATAAATACCAGCGGCGCCCGTAAAACCGGGAAGCGCTTGTCAATCATCTACGTAAGAGTAGCGCAAGCTTCTTTGCTTTAGACCGTAAGTATTTTCCGTCCACCACGTCCACCAATAAAATTACCACGCATATTGAAAACCAAACGTTCATTGTTCCTGCCTCAAATATGACAATTGGCTAAGCAGTGTTGCAACAATCCTCAATAATTTGACAAGGACGTTCAAGTTTTCGACTTGAAAGCAGTGACACAATTATGTGTCTCCGTGGGCACACCAACTGTCTCAAACGCAGAGAAAGGGGCCGGTGGTGCGAAAATGAGCTAAGGTGTGAATAGATCTGACATAATCGCTCAGCGAAATGAAAGTGAGGGGAACACACAAGAAGCAAGGAGGCACGAGTGTTTTGGGGGTTTTTCCCCGTGCTTTCAGTTCACTAAACGACCGTGAACTACCAATTAACCCACCTTTCTGTCCTGTTGCAATGGATGTGACGTCTGCGCAAGTTCTATATGGTTGGAACAGTGATGGCTGTGAGTGGATCTTGTAATAATTCCTAGGTTTTAGCCGACTATACTTGGGCCACGCAACGGGGTACTTGCCATTTTTTCTCGTGGACTTGATGCACATGTGGAGAAAGCGCTTGAGTTGCGTGACGGGGAAGTAGTGACCTTTGAGCATTGCTGAAACGAAGAAGAGAGCGCCGGAACAAGCAATCAGATGCCACGATGATTGTGATCTGAAGGCAACGGATTACTGTGTTTGAAGACTGTCCAGAGTTGGCTGTTGAGGCATAAGTAAATTCTAATAGTTTTGAAGCAAACCACTCGGTATATTCATAATATTTAGTTATTAGAGATACTTCGCTGTGAAGGTTGCGAACTATGATGCTTGCAATATAGGCGGGATGTAAGTAATCCTTTGTTATGCAAGTCACTTCTTGTTGAAGACGACCTACTGTATGCGCAGGTGAGGACGCAATCGGATTAGTGCTCGTCTAAGCTGCAAAGCAAGTCAGTTCTGTGTAAATCACAAAAAAATAAACTTTACTTTCACTGCCTGTATGAAGTATCTGGCATTTTGTCGCTGCTGACCATGTACTGTTTCATAAATTACAATATTTTATCTTTTTTTAAACTTCATTAACCTTGTGGACTTCTTCAGAAATTGATTGGTCCTATTTATTCTCTCTTAAGAGTTGGCGATTAATTCTACGTTGACCTGAAATACGTTAGCCACTAAGACAGGTCAAATAGTGGGGAGCAAATGTGAAGGAGAATTTTGGTCCCAGAATGGGTTCCCAGAACTGTACGCCTTTTTCAGCCATTGTGCAAGTTTCTTGCACAGCAACGTCATGCTGCTTGTTGAGATAGGTTTGCGAACGGCTTACCCTACAAAGCGACTGGGAAGGAATGCGACCTTCTCCACAGCCGTTGTGAACAAATGTGCTACGGCCGGGTTCCTCGACTCTCCGACACGGTGCAGAGATGGCAGTCGAGGCAAGTCGTGAACAAACACAGGTATATTTACCCAACGTACAGCACAGTGCGACAATCGCGGGCTTGCGTGCACGCCGTCAGGGAACTCCGCCAGCCCTACCGAGTGTACGCTTGCCGGCAGGCTCCGCGGCTGTTACGCAAAATGGCGGCGGCCGAGCGCACGTACGCGAATGAAAGCCCCTTCATGTAGAGAAAGTAGGGACACTCTCCTCCATATCCTTTCCAAAGTGTCCAACCCTCCTCTCCAAAGTGTTAAAACCTAATCTATATCCTCTCCAGAACAGCTACCGTGCGGGCGCTGGCCCTATAACCGTGAGGGGGGGACGCGAGGGGGGGGGGAAGCGAGGGGGTTATAGGGCCGGCGCCCGCGAGGGGGGGGGACGCGAGGGGGGGGGGGAGGGCGTTCTCTGGGCATGTCCGCAAACGTGACTCCATGCAGGGAAACCCGACGTACGGCTCACACCAGACAAAGAGGCCTGGTGGTGAAACCATGGTGGCCCTGTTCCCAGCACTCGCACGAGCTGGGATGCGAGGCGACAAAGCGGAGGGCGCACTCGGTTCCCACATGCTTTCGCTTTGACTTTTCTTGATGTTATGGCATCTGTCTAGAGTTTAAAATGGGTGGTGACAGGATGACAGCCCAATCCGCACCGTTTTATCAGGAAGGAATAATTAGGGCTGTTTTGTCTAGAAAAATAGGCAATTCATGGTCTATGTGGCTTGAGATAACCAGAAAAACAAGACAAACGCAGTGATGACTTCCCTGTTCTCTTTATATGAACGTGTAATAACACTACAGCTGAACACGAACATTATTTTGAAAAGAATAAGCATGGCTATTTGACTTACACAATGCACAAGATGTATCGTTCAACACAACCTGATCAAGCTCCATTGTACATATGGTGAGACAAGTGTAGCTTGGGAGGCTAGACTGGAAATGAGCTTGCAACTGAATCTGATTTGATGTATCGAGCAGAATAGCAGAATTTGATGTCTGATTGTACTTTGTCATTAGAAAACAAAATAATTTCCTGCTCAAGTGTTGAGCCTCTAGATCTATAATGGCCACTTATATGAATGCTGTGCAGATTGTCCCGGTATATAGAGATATCTGCTACATGAAAATAAGGAAGTTGTCAGTCATCCTTCAGCGTATTTAGTTTTCCCAGTGTTTATTGTCTATAGGGTGGAGTTATAGTCTAACGCGATACTACAGTTTGTAATCAAGTGTTCACGCATGTGGTGGTGGTGTCGCTGCTCACCGTCGACGTCGATGCCGCGCAGGTACAGGTGCCTCTTGACCATCCTCACCGGGATGGCCAACATCGAGTTCGGGTCGGTCGGGAAGCGGCAGAGGGACGTGGCCATCTCGTCGCACATGTCTATGGGGGCTTGCAGCCTTTTCATGTAATACAGAGCTGTGAGCCACATCAACAGTAATCAACGGCAGGCATTGCTACTTAGATATGGTGTTTTATGACGCGATGTACAAAGATGACAAGTGTGACATCAGAGGCTAACGTCAGCATCACCAGCAAGAAGCGTGGCGCGCCGGTCTCGTGACACTCGCGCTGCGCGAGAGCTCGGCTTCAACTCGAAGACTACTTCAAACCACAAGACATCACGGACACGACGAAGCGACGAGCAGTGTTAGTGGCCTCGCTACCAGACAGTGCGATTCGAGTGGTCCAGGGACGTTGCCATTCGAGGCAATTCAATGCACTTAACTACGATGCCGTTAATTATCTCGAGAAGTACTATGTCCCTGCAGTCAACGACATAGTGGCAAGTTAAGCTTTTTTTTTACTAGATCACAACTAGAAAGAAAGGAGATGCAGGATTTTATTGCTGAAATAAGGTGGCTGGCAGAAAAATGCAATTTAGGATCGTCGCTCGAGCACATACTACGAGACCGAATCGTGTGTGGAGTCTTAGAAGATGTGAGACCACATTTGCGGACTCTCAGGAGCCTGACCCTAACCGAAGCAGGTGATTTCGTTATTGCAGCTCAGAATGCGACCGCGAATGCTAGAAGCATGCAATATACCGATCAGAGTAGCAAACAATTCATGCGTCAGAATAGGTCACGAAATGGGCAATCGAAGGTCGAAGGCATGACATTTCGCCATAGGTGTGGCAGTGAAGCTCACTCTAACGAGCGTGCTATCACGTTCGTACGGTCTGCCGCCGATGTGGTAAACGAGGACACGTCGCTCGAATGAGCCGAGAACAAACCTAGCGGAATTCCCGTGGCGCTTATGTCCTGTCGGCAGCAGCAGCAACTGATGATAGCTCGGAAGATGAGAAGCTCTATACTAAAGTGGCTCATAAAACGAGTACTGGTCGCATGGTTAAGCCAATTTTCAAAAATTTACTTGGGATGGTGCGCCGCTTTCCATGTTGAGCGATACGGTGTCACCTGTTAGCGTTATTTAAATGAGCCTGTTCAAGCAGAATCAAAGCAGATGGCCACCTTCAAGCAGCACCACTCTCCATTTGTCATGTTTTTTAAAGAGAATTTCCAGTGGTTGGAGAAGTGCACATGAAAGCGAGCTATCAGGGGAACGCCGTACAGACCCTGATTATTGTCGATACACTTGGACTAGCGTTATGTGGAAGGGATACCATCAAGACGTTTAACAATAGTGGAGTGGCCATGTTGAGGCCAAACGTCGTCGCGAACCTCAACACGCGCAAGGAAGACCACACGAGCCACGAACTTCACATTTTACTCGTAGAGGTCGAAGATGTGTTTGCGCCAGATTTAGGGCTATACAAAGGTCCACTGGTGAAGCTTATCCTGAAGAAAAATGCCACGCTCCCCTTTTGCAAAGCGCATACGGTGCCATACGCTTTGACAACCAAGCTGTCTGATGCTTTGGACCGACTGGCTGCTGATGGTGGGATATCACAAGTTATAGCTGTGGAATGAGCAACGCCAGTGGTTCCAGTTGTTAACACTGAGGGGTCCATTTGACTGTGTGGAGATTTTGCCTGAAAGTGAACACGGCCAGAGTGACTGAACAGTACCCACTACCCCGTGTGAATGACATCTTTGCACGACTGAATGGCGGTGAAGTATTTAGTACACTGGATTTGACTCAAGCGTGCAACCAGCTGCCCGTGGACGATGAGGCCAAGAAGCTGACAGTCATAAACACTCCCAAGGGCCTATTCTGCTTCAGTAGGCTTCTTTTTGGGATGAGCTCAGCTCCGACCATCTTCCAGAGGCACATGGATTTCTTATTCAAGGATCTCCCGGGTGTACAAGCCTCTCTGGACGACATCATAGTGGCTGAGAAGCGCAATGACACTTCATTGTTAAAGCAAGTCTTGCTGCGCTTACGGGACTATGGTCTCAGGCTAAACATCAAGAAATGCAAATTCAGACAAGAAGTCACCTTTCTCGAACATCGAGTTGATGCTAATGGGCTCAAACCAAAGGACGACGACATTGACGCAGTTTTTCAAGCACCGGTCCCCAAGTCAGTGAGCGAACTCAAATTCTTTTTGGGCTTAATCAACTATTATGCGAAATTTTCACCGAACCTTTCCACAGTCCTAGCGCCATTATACAATCTGATAACTAAAGAAGCTACGTGGAAATGGCAGCAGGTACACGAGGAAGCAGTTCGAAAGGTTAAGTAGCCTATTCAAAGGTCAAAGTTTCTGACAAACTTTAACCCTCACAATCCTTTGAAGTTGGAATGTTACGCTTCTTCTGTAGGAGGGGGGGGGGCAGTACTTTCCCATCGCATCAATAGCACTGACTATCCGATTAGATTTCGCTCCAGAACTTTGTCCAAAGCAGAACGAAACAACTCCCAGCTAGAAAAGGAAGCCTTGGCCCTTGTATTCGGCGTTACGTGATTGAAGGACTACTTATATGGCAATCACTTTGTTTTGGTGACCAACCATAAACCCCCAATGGGTTTGTTTAACCCAGGAAAAGCTATTCCTCCTATGGCTGCGGCAAGAATTCAGAGGTGGGCTCTTCTCGTTGGACAATTATAATTACACATTGCAGTATCGCAGGGGAACCGAAAACTCAAACGCGGGTGCCTTAAGTTACCTGCCATTACCGAACACACTACACGATACCAGCACGGAAATTCTGCCAGAGTATGTCCTGCACTCGAAATGCTTGGAGAAAGAAGCGATTAGTGTCAGCGATGTGGTACATTTTACAGAAACGGATGCTCTGCTGCAGCAAGTTAAATTCTGGATTAAAAAAAGGCTGGCCAAAAGTTTTGCCTGAAGAGCAGAGCTGCTTACGACAATACTTCAGCAAGAAGGTAGAGCTCACTTACTACCAAGACTTCGTCTACTGGAGACACCGCATCGTGCTGCCCGCTGCTCTAAATCGACGCATCTTGGACTTGCTTCATTAACAACACCCAGACATGGCGACCGTGAAGAACATTGCAAGATTCCTGTTTTGGTTTCCGTGTGTAGACAGTGAGATCGAGCGATTGGTGTGTGGATGTCCTGCTTGTATACAGGCTGCGGCGATGCCTCCAGCGCAAACACCTGTGCCATGGCCCACGACGGGAGAGAAATGGAGCCGGTTGCACGCCGACTATGAAGGTGCCATCGAAGGACACATGATATTTGTAGTTGTAGATGCCGAAACGAATTGAATGGAGGCAGTTCTAACAAAATATGCAACAGCAGAAGTAACAGTAGTGGCCCTCAGGGCAGTGTTTGCCAGGTTCGGTCTACCACGTACTCTTGTGACGGATAATGGACCTCAGTTCACGGTTTTCCAATTCCGCAGTTTTCTTGCGAAGAACCAAGTAAAACACTTGACAACAGCGCCTCATCATCACCAATCAAATGATTTAGTGGAGTGAGCCGTAAGAAAGTTGGAGGAAGGCTTGAAGAAAAACGAAGAAATGCGGCTACAAACTCTACTTTCAAGATTTCTGTTCCGTTACCGCCGCACGCCAGTGAAAAAGGGCAAATCTCCAGCGAAGCTTTTGCTGGGGTACCAAATACGAACAAAACTTGACTGCATTATTCCGACCACAGATGCTGTTCGAGCAAAGCCGTGCGACGAAAGACAACAGCTATGGCCGGTAGGACAGCGCGTTTGGACACGAACGTTCCTGCCACGGAAAAAGGTGGATACTAGGTCTCGTGCGGGACCATCAGGGCAAGTGCATGGTCACAGTGGACACGACTGAGGGAACGGAACAGCGGCACTTCGACCAAGTGTGACGGCGGGACGTTTCAGTTGACGAATCATGCGACACCGACATGCTATCATCCCGTCAAGAACTTTCGGGTAAAAGCGCAAGAGATTCACCGATTCCAGCCACTCCACCTTTGCGACGCTCAACGCGAAAGCGCCGTGCTCCTGATAATTTGAACTTTTAGGCAGGGGAGAAGCTGTGGCATCGGAGACTAACATCATCATCACCAGCAAGAAGCGTGGCGCTCCGGTCACGTGACGCTCGCGCTGCACGCGAGCTTGTCTTGGCCGAGGCTCTGGCTGACCTGGAATAAACGACGTGCCACCTATGTTCTGTTTAGTCAGTGTCGTGCATTGCAACAACAAAAAAGAGGGAAGCGACAAAAAGTAAAGTGGAAAATTAAGCGAAGCGCAAGAGGAGCCCATGTACCATAGGATCTCATTGCAGGTTGATGAACAGCAGATGGTCAAGAAGCGTCGTTTTTTTTTTAAAATAAAACCGTAGATATGAGTACCACACTGCAATCATTGAACTTATGCTACATCTGCGTGATATACCTCGTTTTGTGGGTTACTTCACACATATTACTTTTGAAGAAAAGCTGCTACCACTGAAAACCGACCCAATAGGCTCTCTATGGTAAAAGAAGCAATGAGTTTTCGAGCAGTACCTTGAATATGTTTTTTAGAGCCGTACCAGTTGATGACTTACCAGCATTTCTGCAGTAGGTTTCAGTGCAGATCTCGTAGTTGATGTCTGAAGAGGTTAAACGTGGTGTGTCACGATTCCATCACCTGGAGCTGGTACATCAAGAAGCAAGCAAAAATAAATACTCACGTTTTTTGTGCGATCTGTTTCTGCCACTGTCCGAAAGGTCCCCTGGGCATGGGCAACGAAACATTCCTTAACATTTCTTGTTTAATCAACCGTCGACGCATAGTTTATAGTTTTCAATAGAAACTCTCCAACGGGCCCAAGGTACGCCATATATTGTAACTTAAGAAGTACTAACGTGATAGAACATTCACTTGATATTTATGATTCGATACTGATATTGTTATGAATCGATAGAGGGCTTCATTAAACTAGTGATGTGTTGAAAAAATTCAAAAATATAATCTAGAATTGGAATTCATATGAACGTCTATACAGACGTTCTATCATAGCACAATACGAAGCTTGATCGTGATGCAGGATGTAAAAGTAGTTGGATTTAGATCAAATGTTTTTCTTCCTTTCTTTTCTAAGAACACTCAATCCGGATTACGCTTGATTCGTATGCGGCTCAACTGCGTTCAAAGGTGCCCGTGTGAGGCGGGCATGTGGTTCGGTACGTGATTGTCAGCCTCTTTAAGTCGACTTTCGGTCAACTACCTGGCAGAACACATCATTTTGTCTTTCCTACCTGCTCTGTCCTTGTAGATGAAGTACGCAAAGACGAAGGAGGACAGCGTTATAAGTGACAAAAACGCCGACACGCCCATGAAGTATGCCGCAGTCAGGGGGGACCTGCGCGTGAAGCAAACCATGGCCAAAAGATTAATTTGATGATTGATTGATTGATTTGTGGCACTAGCGCCCCATAAGCGTCAAATGATTATGAGACGGCGTAGTGGAAAGCTCGGGAAACATTGGCCACCTGGGTTTAACTTGTGCCCAAATCTGAGCACACGAACCTACAGCATTCTCGCCTCTATCGAGAATGCAGTCGCCACCACCGGGATTCGATTCCACGACCTGTGGGTCAGCAACGGCCAAAAGATAAAAAAGTATGAAAAATAAACACAACATTTCAGCCGTTTTGCTCGCAAACTGAAGCGTCAAAATTATTAGATATACATATGGTGCCTACCTTATTAGTTTGTTCGGTTTCTTGCGAGGTGCTGTGTAAAGTACGTCTTGCAAGCCCTCCGGTGTTATGATGACGTGTGGGCCCTCGGTCGGCTCCAGTGCCTCCATATTCTGCGCTTACCGGCATGGGAATTAGGATATGCCACAACGAAGGATACTATCATGAGCTTCATCGCACAAGGGGGTGCGAGCAATTTGGAGTTTTGTTTTCTGCTTGACAGCGAAGGCACGTACTGATAGAATAATTGGTCTACTAACCTTGTCACGGTGGCACACCCCGAAAGATCGCTGGGGGCTCCTGCTGTTGGTGTGTCCTTTTCACATTAGTTTTTTTTTGTAGCCTGGAATTCATAACACATACCCACTGTGGGGTATTAGCCAAGAAAATTTATAGTATCGTAAGAACGCTAACTGCACTATTGCTTGCGAAAAAAAAAGAAAATAAAAATATGTAGAAGGAGTACATTTTATGAAAAAACTAAGATTCAGACAGTTAGAAAAAAAAACATCGAAAAAATAGTCATGTTTTGATTTGTTTTGTCCCTCAGAAGATCTTGGCAAATACCCACAAGGGGGATTGGCCACACTGTACCTTATAACGTACATTTGTATACAATGTTTGTTAAAACAGTGAGCAATCAGATAAGATCAAGATGAATAATATTGTTCTTTTGAAAAAAAAAAGAAAGCTGTACGCACACACACAGGTCAACTCTTCATCCTCTTCTGCTTCTACGCGTGACTCTTGGACGACATATGAAAGCATATGTCGCTCACTGGGTAGCGTCATTGGCGAATTGTGACGAAAAGTACCTTGCCCCCAAGATTGTGTACTGGCAACTGCGGACGCCACTGAACCCCAGTTTCAATTTCTGCGATATCCACTGGAGGTGCTGTTTGGACCTGAAAGAGGCCCATTTTTTAAAAACTTTTTCATGGTTCAAGCGCCCTTCTCGTCCCTGTCTTTCATGATGATGACCGCTGAGGCCACTATTCCGTTGTATATTATTCCTTTCATATGGAGGTAGTGGTGTCAACAATGACGCATTAGTTTTTTCGGTACTTTAGTAACTACCAAACAGGTAACGTACTTCCTTCAATATTTTTGTCAATGTAAATAGTTTTGTTACTATATTCAGTTTGTTCCATGCCCCCTTCTTTAGAAGAAAATCAAACCAAAACACTGAGTACCTGAAGGGATCCAATAAACAAAACAAAGAAAAGCTCTTAAAGAATCCTGCTGCGGCTCCCATGCCTGCCAGAAAACACGTGCCCTTGATGGTGAAGCAAAGTACCGTATTCGCAACTTTCACAATCGCGCGACTGTACATTCAACATGTCGTTGACATGATCGCCTCGAAAGAGACGGTATCGAAAGGTACACTTTTGGCGAAGAGAGCGATTCTTCGGAATTTGGTGTCTCTTCGATTTGTGTTTTTAAAAAGGAGGGGAGTGCTAGCCTACTATACTAAGTAAATAAATTGTGGGTAAATAAATATGCACGAAAATGTAAATGAGGCACCCAAGTAGGCTCTTCACTTTGCTGGCTGTGCGCAATTGTGCGCAAAGCCTGGTGTCATGTTGAAAAGTATCACAATGTGGGCGTCAGTACCAAATTCTCAGTAATTTCAGAAACAGTTCGGGAGAAGCGCTTTATCTTACAGTTTTGATAGCATCGCTTACAGCGCGAAGCTTGTTCAGCTCACCTAAAAGCACGATGTAGAATAAGCAGAGGAAAAAAAAAACGTAGCTGTTTTTCAATACCGAGGCGCAAGAACCAACGGAAGCATGTCAGACTACCTGATATGATTTTAGAGTACTTTCATTCTTAAAAGAGCAACAACAGATGATGAAGACGATGAATTTGCAAGCAGTGAATGAAACCAGTCGAAATATGCAACTTTAACGTTTCAGAGTTGACGTTCCCATGACTATTCAATGTTTCAGTGTTAGCAAAAATACAAAAAATAGCCTGGTGCAGGGCAGAAACGAAACAAAAACGCCATCAGCATGTAAGACCGAAAATGAATCGCTGCAGATGTCAATGTCGTAGAGGCATTGTGCAGACGCTTCGGATGTGTAATGATGCGATGAACATTTTCCAACCAGTTCTTACATTCTATTTTAGAGACGGAACGAATTTCTAATTTAGTTATTGTACTCTTTGCACAGCTACCGTGCAGAGCACAGGGAATTAAGCGGCAGAACTGCAAAGTGGAAACTCTTTTACTCATACACAAAATGGGGGCAGCACACGTTCACGGGCCCTGGTTATTTACTTGCTAAATTTAACCCTCTTAACAACTTATAGATTTTTCGGAGCACTAATTTGAACTGGAGGCTCATTTTTTCTCACGGTGTGTGTATATTGGCTGTGAGCGTAGAGGCTCGCAGTGATATCAGTCTGCTTTTCTTTTCCTTTCTACTTTCCTTTCAACTTGAGAAACTCAAAAGGTTACAGCCATTCCCAACGTTGCAAAACGACTGAAAACGCAGGACAACAAGCAGCAACATCTGCTATTAGAAGCAGGTCTCTAACTTCAATTATCTCAACAGGGCTTCCGGCCGCCACCAGTCAGTGGTGCCACAATATCTTGAACTTGCCAATAACCATTAAGATTTAACGCGTGCGCGAACGTCTCATTCAATAGCAAGTTGTAGTAGTTAAAAAGAATTTCATGTGATTGTGTAGTGCTGATAATGAGCCCTCATCTCCGGTTTTCAGGTAAATTTTTCTTTTTTCTCTCCACTATTGCGGCTACATTTCCGGTTAATTAATCTCTGAGGCACTGAAGCCGGCCAATAATGCCTTCCTATAAACAATGCCAGCTTTTTTTCCTGGCCTTTGTATAGGTGAAAATAAAAGCAAATCTTTATCTTTGTGCACAAATAGCTTTTATTTTCGGAATAAGTCATTCAAGCATTCCTTTATTTCTACACTATTAGCACTTTCTTTATGCTTTTCAAATCCCTGTGTGTTTCGAAACTTTGATTATTATTTCACTATCACCAGAAATTTTTTTATTCACATATCCGTAAATAATGCTTTGCAGATCTAGCGCTAATAATAAAGTCTTGTTTTGCCTAACGTCTCTGCCTAACTAGTGGTCGTAACATTAGAATTATATAGCAACGCTGAACTCCGGCACATGTGTGCAGTTTGTACTCGTCGAATACTAGTTTTGTTATAAGAGCTTTTCAGTAACACCAAATGCTTAAGTAAAAAAAAACCCTGAAATTTTGCAGGACCCATAAAATGAGAGTATTGGTTTCGTGGGAAGCTATCACTAAAGTAGCTGTCTTCACCAATTTTTTTGGCTTTGATCTAAGTGTTTCAAGGTAGATTGACGTATTTTGTAAATGGAGTAGTCGGTGGCTTACTAGGTGGCCTGACTGCATTGGCGTTTAAACGATAAATTATGGTCTGACGCAAGCGCAGCACTAATGTTAGGGCTCTGACGAACTGCATGACACAGCCAGCTGATGGGGATATTCTAGGGGGAATTCAATATTGTATGCCTCCGAGGTCGAACTATACATATATGTAACAATGTTTGCTGAGTCATAAGAGTACACACAGACAGTTTTTGAGAAAATACATACTTTTTAATAAAAGTTCTAAGTTTCTAATAAAGTTCTGTACTTTTTAATAAAGTTCTGTACTTTTTAATAAAAGTTACAAGGTACCTGTAATGTTCGCCAACGAACATCACGTTGAGGGGAAGGATACGTTGTAGCAGCTGAAATGACACTGTTGTGACTAATTGACACAAACTATTTAACTTTTTAATTCGTGTCTTGAGGGCAATGTCTGTTCTAGTGTGTGTTTTTGCCGTTTCTGGGTAGATATAAACTGTGAATCACCTGTGGCGCATACCGGCACACCATGACCCCTGGTGTACGAATGTGCGCTGCGTGTGACTGGAGAAAAGAGTTTGATGATGTGCGTGATAGGAATTTCAAGTCGTTTATGTCATGACCTGACAGTCATGTTTGTCCTACTCTCCTGTTTTTTTACGCCAATTTTTGTCTATACTAACTTAAGGAGATGACCGAGAGGTTAACCGGACGCAGGGGACTATAAGTCAAAACGCTATAACTGTCTTAGGTTCGCTAAGAAATGCTTTGTTCCTAAGAAGTGACCTTTGCAATGTTGTTCTTATTATATCCTGCCACGAAGATGTTTTCTTTTTAATTTATGGCCATAGAGTAACGAAACATCCACCAGCTTTACCTATTTTTCTTTCTGCATGGTAAATGCAGCGCGTTACCTTAACTTGCTTACATAGGTGATTCAATTACGCGTTCCCTATTGATATCGTAATGAGTAACATGAGTTGCAAGGCTGCGGTGGCAGTTCTATATCAACTTCAAGCTGCTTTTACGACAACTTTTACACTAATAGTAAATTATATTGAAGTGGTGGTATTCACAAACAAAACAAAATATAAATTTGATCACTTCATGAAGAGAACGTAAAAATAAATGAACGATTTGTTGTATAAACTAGGTATCCTTCTTGTCGAAAATTTTCAATTTAATGTTATTGACATTCTTTCTAGTAGGCATCATCGAATAAAGGTTCGTCTTCTCTTTTCTTAGTTTTCTCTTAGTTTCTTTTTGAATACTTTCCCTATTATCATCATGTATTCCCCCCTTTTTTACACAGTGTTATTGCAACAACATGAACAATTACGACGATGAGAGGAAGGTTAAAAATAATTAACTCACAGACAAGCAGCAACGTGTTCGAAAGCTGATAGCTAGATCTCAATGGTATAATGTTGGCCTGAATATTCGTTTGAAAGTAGGCTTTGGCGCGTGCTGCAAATATACCTCAAAAATATTTTTAGCTGCTAGTTGAGTAAACGTTTTTTATGTACTAAGCTAGCTACATTTTCAGTAAATAGCAAGTTTGGTTTATTACAATTTATTTGTTACCTTGTGCCACCTCTGTCCGAGCCCTGTTTTACTTCACCCCTGTTTTTGTTTGTCCTCTATTTCTCTTAAGAATATATCTACTTGGTCGAGCCTCGTCTGCTGTCACATATAATGCTTGATGATCAACATGGGAGGGGTCTTCGCCCAGCAGTTGGTGTTGTTACGCT